TGGTCGAGGCGTGGGTCTACACATAACACTCTCGTAACATCGGCTTTTAAAATTTCAAACGACCACAACGGCGGTAGGCCATAAATCTCCTTTCAGGGAACGTACTGCTTCACCAGATCTTTAAAGAATTAATCAAATTCTAGTTGAGCTTCGATTACCTAGCGGAGACGTGGTGCATGCTGTAGTACAGTTAATTTTTGAATGCAAATCTTGTCGAAACTCAGGCAAGAGGCCGCTCCAAGACAGTATAGCATATTCCCTGGGATAGTGATACGATTCAAAACTGACTACAGGCAAACTAAATTCATGAGCGTATACGATAGTGCGTATCTTGAGTCAATTTCGCAGAATTGTCTCTTTGTTGCTATTTCAATCAAGCAACGACCTCATATTAATAGCCGAAACATGGCATTTTTAAGAGCAATGACAATATAGACATTAAAAAAGTTAATGTGTCATTCCGAGTATGATGTCAACGACAAAAAAACAACCAACTAATAAAAGTGTTTTTCGGGTTTTTTCTAAGTAATTAAAGGTTAAATTGATGTTAACTAAACTGATTGGTGATTGGTGACGAGTAACTGATCTTTGTTACGGTTTTTCAAATCACACTTTACAAATGACATGCAGAGTTTGGCATGTCCGAATTATCGCTTAAGAAAGCCGGATGTAAACTTTTTAATTTGCAGGTCGATACAATACTACAATAGTACAAAGAAATACAATGAATCAATCTGGTAAAGTAATTTCCTTTGAGGACAACTTGCCATTTGGAAATAACTTCATAAGATTGGTGACGATTAATTAGCCACATGCCAAGTTCGTAATCGAAATTGCAAGTCGAGCTTCCTTTTTTCAATATTCAAGTTTTATATACAGATACAATTAAAGTACTGTCCAGAAATAACCTAATGCGGTTCGGTCGCGGTCGACCGATAAAAACCACAGACGACTGCAAGGGGAAAAAATACCTTCGTAATGGCCGTTCCCTTCCGAACGAAATGTTGTGAACAGCTGAGAAGGACAACACAATAACCAAAAATCTTACGAAATGTCTGTCAGACCAAGTTAGGTTAGAGTTCCCTCCGTCTCACCGCGGTTCGACTTCGGTCTGACCTCGGTTCAACCGCGGTCTGACCTTGGTTCAATAGGTTATTTCTGGACAGTACAGTATAGGAAGGCGAGAAACAGATCACAGCATCCATATTATGAATTATCTACAACAGCAAATTTCAAAGACATGCAAATGCACGCTATTCTCAAGCATCGAAGAACAAGTATAAAGTATGAGTCAAATATAAAAAAGCCAGGTAAAAGTAAATATTTTGCTTGTGGCATAGCCGGAAAAGATTTCTACTATTTGTAAGATTATTATTATTATTTGTAATAAATCATATTGCATAACTACAAAATGATGTTGCTGGCACACAGTGGATTTTCAATGTGTGGTTCCTCTTCTCACCATCAACTCATGCAACATCGGAGAATATAAAACTTGCCATTAACAAAAAGGTGTTTGTTGTTTTTCAAGTGCATTTTGGAACAAAAGCGCTCGAAAGTTCTATTTCAACAAACTGTGACTCGTGCAAATGTGAACGTCTTTGAAACACCCACACCTGTATGCCAATGATTCAATGGATCAATCATCGTGCTTCTGTCAAACAAATTATCTCAACAATCTTTAAAAATGAGATTAGGTCCGCCTAAGACGGACACAGAAAAGTTCTAAAATAATCTATACCCTTCCGCACTAAACCCAGGTGTGCTAACGAGCTATCTCATGACAATCATGTGCTGCTCATTTATGGCATGGTCTACAGTTTAAACACCACGCACCGTGAAGTGTAGGTACCTCGACGTTAATGCACGTGGCCCTTGAATCATCTCTGAAACCAACGCAGTTATTGAAAAACGCACGTTTTTCAAACGCACGTTTTTTGTACGTACATACACTCGCGTAAAAGTTTAAAATCTATTAAATTATACTTATGGAATAAACGATTGCATAGGGCTGGATTCTGTTGATGATTTGGTGTGCTTTTCAAGAGTAAAGTGATTTATTTAACAACTTAGAAGGTTTTAAGCTTTTACGTGCGTCGTACGTGGAAAAAACGCAACAGTGGAAGCAGCCGTTCTAGGTTGTCATATAATTAATTTTATTGCTGAAAAAACACACCCAAATCTTCAACAGAATGTAACCCTGTGCATCTATTCAATCGTAGGTTTTAGAGGTATCGTTTAAATGATTTTAAACTTTTACGTGCGTGTACGTATGTGCAAAAACACGACAATGTAAAGCAGCCCTTAGCACCTCGTATATTTAGGCAGCGTTCTCATTAATTCTCCCTTACAGAAGGGCGTGGTCGGCACATTATTTCGCAATTACGATTTTATTCTGCTCTCGGTAGAGATTTGTTTAGAATCCTGTTTGTCAGGAGTTGTTGTATATTCGGATTAGCACATTTAACTTGTAAGTAATGAACTATGCAAGGATCGCAATCGTAATCAGATTAGGATCATTTATTTGCTAATCTATCTATTAGCTAATGGATAGCGAGTAACGTAAGCCAATCAGAATGCAGTATTTGCAATGGTGCTCGACTAACGTCTCATTAATTATGATTAGTGTTGAATTATAGGGATTGGTTTATCTTTACACGGATACCAGCCAAAAACGCCGTTGATCTAAAATTGACGTTAATACTTATAGTACTTCTGTAACACCAATTACTTCTAACGAACAATCTTAAAAATGAGATTAGATCCACCTTGGATGGGATGAAAATTTTTAAAATAATTTTGCCTTCCGCACCAAACCAAAGTGTGATAACGGACTCTCCAGTCATGTGCTGTTCTTTTTATAGCTTACTGTGAAACATGATGCATGGATTGCAAGCAAGGGCGTCAATCCATGTCAAAATTGGCGAGGGGGCGAATAATGTTATATTACCAAGCTTAATGCAATATGAATTAAATTCGTCATGAAAGGGCAAATGTAAATACCTTTGTAGCCAAACCAGCAATGCAATGCAAAAATGGATTGTGTTAGCCTTAATATTTTACCACCAAACATGTAAATATGAGGATAATTGTAAATGGCCAGGTAATTGTGTTTAAATAGGCACAAAGTTCTATGCAGACTGTTGAATTTGCCTCGCAGAAGGGCGTGGTCGGCACATGATAGCAGAACCACCATTTTACGCAACTTTGTGGAACGAGATTTATTGGATCCTGTTGTTCGGGAATTACCGTATATTATCTGAATTTTTCGCGTGATGAACTGGGTCGATGATTTTACCCCACAGAGGGCACATGAGCTGCCATTTATTTCACGCGGAAAGAGATTTGTATAGGACCCTGTCGGACTGAAATTACCTCAGGTTCAAATGAATTACTGAGGTTCAGATTAGCAAACTGAACTTTTGCAGATGATCAACCATGGGTATGAACCACGCGGTTGTTCAGAGGTGTTTCGCCTCACAGAAGGGCGTGGTCGGCACATGATGGTAGAACTGCCATCTGCCCAACTTGGCGAAAATAGATGTATAGAATCCTGTTGGTCAGGAAATAGGTTATTCAGATTAGCAAACTTAACTTGCACATGATAGCTCATCCAGGAATAGTAGTCCTAATCAGGTTATGGAATCTATCTATTAACTAATGATGACATCCGCGTTGTCAAGCAACCAACTGAAAGCAGGCTTTAATATAATCCACCTAGAACGGATTGAAATATTTTTCAAAATCTTGCCTTACGCGCCAATGTGTGTGATAACGAGCTATCCCATGACAGTCACATGTCTGTAGTTCATGGCATGGCTTTCTGTTCGAGCACAATGCAAAACCAACCTGGCTGGCCTTAGCAAACTGACTTACGCGTGTTGCAATCAGATAAGCAAACATTTATTTACGCATTTCTTTATTTCATTTTTCGTCTCAGTTCGTGTGCCCGTGTGTATGATTGTACGATTTTTGAACAAAGAACCAAAACTTGAAGAATTCGCTGTCACATTAAGGAGTGTCACATTTCCACCCCACCTTGACAGTAACTCAACAGCCTTACCCTGGATTATCGCATAACTCAAATCAGGTTTTTCAAGGCTAGCCTGGCCTTTTTACTAAATTTGAATACTTCCTATGAATTCGTTTTTTTTAGATAAATGAATACAACTTCATACAACACCAGTTTCACCAAAAAGGCACACCGAAGTGACTCAGGATCTATATCATACTCGCAAATTTCGGACGCGGAACATGGCAAAAAGGCATATTGCCTTGCTATGAGTGGCGTTTCCGTAAGAGCAATGGTGTGGTAAATGGGTAGGCATGTTTAAAAAACCTAGCATAAGCGGGACCCGAATGAATTGCGGCCGTCTTATTGTCTCCTCGATTGTCTCTATAGGGGTGCAATTATAGCTCGTCTGTTTACAGAGTTCTTTTTAATGTGATTGAGAAGGCGAAACGAAACAGTAAATAGATTAAACTAGTTGTCGTCCTTAATGCACTGCCATCTTTGTTAGTATGATTATCAGCGCACTGCTGTGCTAAGGAAATCCACGCGCTCAAATAACAACTGTTCAATGACAATAACTATTCACAAAATACACATCACACTGTTTATTTTATCACGAGCTTATTTCGGCATCTCTTCCCGACGCAATTTGCCAATGTAAAATTACCCGTTTCGGAAACGCGATACAGAAATCTACGTTCCACGGCGATGCGATGAAATTTGTCGCGCCATGATCAAGGTATATAGCAATTGACGCACGATGCGCAATCATTTTGGGCGAGGTACGGATGCAAAGAAATCCCTCGAACTATTTCTGCTATTAAACCTGGTGTACGCTTCGATCGGAAGCTGACGTGTGAAATAATAGGGTCACATTTGCACGTCTTTCAACACGTTGTCGACGCAGACGCAGGCCCGCCACTGTGGATTAGCAATTTGCGCTATTTAAGACTAAGATTTTTGACAATAGCCCGCAGTGGAGCTTCGCATATCGACCAGTCAGTGCAACCCGAAAAGGATATCCTTCCATTACCGAAAACGAAACACCAACGGCGTCGACATGATTCCTGTCCTGGCTGTGATGATATTTTTTCAACACCAGACCGAAGCCAAAACGATGTCTTCGACGCCAAGTAAGTTGAATATATGCCTCTTTTTCTTTCTTAATGGATTGGTGCTCCGGGGAACGGTACGCTATAAAAGTTTGACCATATGTACGTGCGAATAGGGAAGCGTTGGTTAAAACGTGTAGTTTTTCAACTCTTTCCACGCAAGGCCGGTAATAAAAACACCCCGTACATTGTTCAATGTTGATCAAAAGAAGCAAGGAGGTCTCTATTAATTCCATTATTTCTTGAATTTGCGAGCAATTTATACTAAATTTCGTGCGATAATATATATCCCATTCAATACTTTGTAGGGCAAAGGTGCGCTAATTGCTTCGTCGATTTTTTGAAATTCAAAGCTCGGGTCAAATTTTTGAACCTATATGCAAGCAATCCCTAAAATCACCAGCGGACTCTGTCTGCTTTGTGTTATCCTTGCGTGATTACAGCGCGTTAAATGGCAATTCAGTAATTCAGTTGTCACGATAGTTTATAGACTAGGCGGCGTCAATTGTATACCTACTGGCACTCTGCTGTATCGGATATAGATGTGTGATAATCGAATAGCCGTACTGTTGTAAGCGCCGTCTTAATGTTCTAAGCGCAAAATATGCAAATTTTTAAAGCAAGCCAATATGAAAATTTATTTCGGGCGAGAGATACCAGGATGCAATCAATACATGGAAATCGGAGCATCTTCATTTTGTCATGGATAATTGCCCATGATCTCAGTCATATTCAAGTGCCTTACACATGCTTTTACAGCAGCAAATTAAGTATCGTATATTATATACAACATTAATTAATTTAGGAACTCGACGTAGATAATTGGTGCGGAGTTGATAATCCTCTATACTCATTAGTGACATCTTATTGACAAATGGATTGGCTCATGTTCATTTTGTCCCACATATTAATACGCGCATTTGTCTAACAAATGAAGTAATGTACATAAACAATTTGAAAACATAACAAGTTGTCATAGAGCGATTGCATTGTAGGCAAATCGTTGTTTGTAGTCCCTTGTGTTTTGATGAAAGCAAATAAGCAATCATAGGGGCTATTCATAGGTTTCACATTGATAACAAACATAAATCATGGGATAAAACGGCGCCGCAATCGGCGTAATCTAGCTTTAGCTACGTACTAAGCTCACTGACTAAGCTTGAAAAACTGTATTAAGTATTTCTAAGCAAGGTTTCGGCATACGATCGGCCTAGGTGTTATATGAAATGTATCATCAATAAAAATACTCGATGAATAAGCGGTGTGTTGAAAAGCTGTAAGAGCTTTCTTTCTCGTATTCCAAACATTCAGAGGTCATGGGTGTGATGGCCGTGAAAGAGTGGCTGGCAATTTTCACACTAAATTAAAACTGAGGTTGTTTCAATCTCGACGTTCCCCCGATGTTGGTAGTGCATAGACCCCCACCCAGGGAAGCATATCTCCTTGTCCCTATACACTGGTTTTATGGGATGGTTGCAAGCCATGTAAAGAATCAACTCCGTCTGTACAACTGCACAGATACGTTTGTGCTACGCGTAAAGTCTGCCCCTTCTCCCCGTCCAAATGTATATATATATCCTCCTTGAAATATCTGACATACGACTTCTCCTCGGCCAAGTCTTTAGTTGGATCTCTTGAGAACGAGTTGATAGCTGGCCTTGCCGAAGAAAGATATGAACCAATCACTCTTCAGAACTTTCATTTCATGTCTCGCACTATCAAGTATTTGCCAATTAAAAATACAACTAAGCAATATTTATACACACCAGCTTGGTTCTGCTCTCTCCGGTCATAAACGAGTACGACAGCGTCTTGTGTTTCACATTTATTTACCCAGCATATAAACGTTGTGCGTAATCGTTAACCTGACGAGTGACCATTTAGATAAATCCCAAATGCAGACAACACGGCGTGACACCTTACTAGGGTAACTGAACGATAATAACGCACTATCCATGTACATTTTATGCGCCACTTTACTCTTGCCATAAATCATGCATATACGTCCAGCTCTAATAAAAGTCTCGTGCACGAATGATTTATGCTGAAATCAGCCAATGTGCTGATATATTTTTATGTCACATTAGCTCCTTTTGTACCGTTTATGACTTAAGTCTATATAGTCTTACTATAACACAAATTCACGCAACCAACCTGGGAGAACTATATATGTATGTATGTATGTATACGTCTATTATACGTGTACAGGCTCGTGTACTATTGCCAATTTGGGAAGACAATTGTTGGTTAGAATAACCACAACAGATTATGTTCACCTCTCCAATAGTAATCGCGCTGATTGATGTCAAGTATATAATGTTAGGAATATGATGTTAAGCACCTGATATTTAAGCACACGATGATAGGTGTATAATGTCAGCTTTGGAGACCTGGTTGGACTCCAACAATATCACTCCAAAAAAGAGAGCTCCGACATTCCTCGACTAAATCTAGACTTGGCCGAGAGATTTTTCTTAATGGTTTAGGCGATAAAACCGCACATTTTGTTGGCAAGGAAAGCAAGGGCAGAAAGGTGTCGGAAGGGTAAGATAACCACATATTCATCCCTTCTTCTCAAAAAGTGCAGTGCAGATTCACTAGCTTCATGTTGTTGCATGCAACCCTCAACACCAAATACACAGCATAAACGATGTGTTTTATTTGTTATATGAGAACGATTTAATTTCAATTACCTAAACTTGTTGCTAAATTTTAACATATTTCAGCAGAACAACTATATGAACCTTGCCGATGAACTAGCCTCGAGTATCGACCGTCTCAGTAATACAATTTTAAGTCTGTGGCAAATGTTAACCTTACTGAAAATTGCTCAGATATTCGCAGTACATCTCTCACGAAGGCAGATTATTTCCCCATTTTGGGCGAGTGCAAACGGTTGTTTTGATCCCTTACTCCGCGGTCATAATGTTTTGGAGGGTTAGGGTTAAACAAACCACACGTATTGCGTCATCAACCAATCAGACAGAAGATTCCTCAATTATCAAAATTGATGTTTTTACTAAAAACTTAATGAATATATCATCAAACAGCAAGCGCACGCCATAATATTACAACATTATTGCGATATGTGCGTTCCAGAAACATACATGCGTGTATATTTATACAGTACATATTTTGCGGGGTAAATGCGATTTTTATGAAGATTAGCTATATTTACTAATAATACTACTACTAAGCAACACCGTGAATTTCTTTTAGTTTAGCAACAAACATTAGGAATTGCCTAATATTCCTGATGTATAATAGAAGAAACTTATTCGTAAAATACAGTGTCGTATAAAACGTAAGCCTGGTTTCCATAATTCCATTTGGTCGTAACTGTCGTGGATAAGTCATTTTCCTCGACGAGAAAGAGACCGCAGTAAATTTGTCTTTATTTCTGTATTGTGGGACTGTATTCAATTTGCTATTGTTGACTGCACCTGCATACATTATAAAAAATATATAATAATGACATATTATATATCACATCAGTCACCTTGACGGATGATCACGGCTTTGTTGTTGTAAAACTAAAATTCTTGGTGCAGTAACCACCGTAAGAAAGTCAAGTTATATGTAGCTTATATAAGACTTTATGCAAAATGGTTTACTTAGGTGTTGCTGTTAAATCCAAACCTTTTAAGATTGTGATTGAGCAGGCTGTCCCGGTTTGATTATACAAGCCGATTTCTCAAAATCCATTTAATTGCAGTCACTTGCTAAAAACAACTTGCAGTGTGAAAACTATTTACCACAAAATCTGAGCCAACTATAAAGCGATTCGTCACCAGGGCCGTACGTCGCGCTAGAAGCTTAAGTGGGGATGCAAATTCCGTATATTCGTCCTATGTTTGACTGATTTCTTTTGCTAAAGGTCTGCGTCCCCCCTCCCATGAAGGTACTCCGGCCCATGTGAACAGCACCTAATTAATTGTGTATACGTTGGTTTCTCTGACAGCACTGATCGAAGGTGATATAGTCTACGATGAGCAATTTAAGATTCTTACCGGCCAAGTGGGTTTGCGAAAACGTCGAGATATGCTGTCTGATCGTGGCTTTCATTGGAAAAACGCAGTGGTTCCTTACGAAATAGAAAGCAATATGTGTAAGTACATGCAGTTATACAGCAGCAGTAATCTAGAGCCAAACACCTTTGTTTGATAGACAACAGGTCGTGCATGTATGCGTTAGCTGAAACGTTCAGGCCGCTTGTATTCACCGTTCAGTTAGGTTTATTTTATATTGTTGATTAAATAAACGCCCTTAAATAAATGCTTAAGCACATGTCGCAAGTGGAAAAACTACGGTTTGTAAAAAAAAATTGACGTCAAAAGCTGGCTCACTCACTCACACTAGAGAGGTTAGGATACCCCGGTTTCAATATACGGGTACGGGTAGCCATATTTTGTTCATTGGAATTTCTTGTTGTTTGCACGTTTCAAGATATAAATGATGCTTACGTCAAGAGGCTAAAGTCTACTAGAGAAGAATTGTCGAGTTAATCTTCGAAAAAATTGAGAAACATTGTTTAAAATTCTTTGAACAAAATAAGGCTACCCGTACCCGTACACCGGAACCTGGGTATCTTAAGCCCCGTTTACACTACACTCGATTTATTGGCACGGCACGGCTAAAATGGGTACCCGTGCCCATTTCATCTGTTCTCGGCCTTTGTTTTGGTAGCCTGAACACTATTAAAATTGAGCACGGGTACCAATTTTAGCCGTGCCGTGCCGATAAATTCAGTGTAGTGTAAACGGGGCTTTAACCTCTCTATTCACAATCATTGAGAGCAGTGGCGTAGCCAGCCTGACGATTTTTTCCCGCTAAATTTCCTATTTTATAATTATTCATGTCTTAAGAAATTTATTGTTTTCACAGTCAATAAACACCAAAATATTACCATAGCGGGACAAATCGTCAGGCTGGCTAAGACACTCGATTTGAGTGTGACATTATAGCAAGTGTGGTATGACTGATCAATGTGATAATCCTTCTTTATCAATGGAAAAATTTAAGGTGAAACAGTTGAAAATTGAGCTTATATTCGAGTGGAGATAACGCAAGTGATTGCATGTGAACATGCATGTGAACATACAAGTGATTGCATGTGATCTCCATTCTCACACTCAGTGTGACTCAAGTGACTTTTAGACTACAGACGTTGGTGCATACTCGATGTCTCAACATTTTTCGGGTCCTGTTATTGTCATAATATTACCCATGCACTTCTTGTAGAGGAACTGAATACGCCCTAGGCTAACGTGATTGCTTGGTTTCTTCCGGCGCCTTGTCTAATTAACAAACCAATTAACTGTTAATTGCTATATGACAGTGAATATGCGTATGTCTAAATAATTGTGAGTGGCTTGGCTCGACCGGTAATTTATTTCAATTAAATTAGTTCCAAAAATTTCCAGCTGTACGCGTACGCCGTAAATATTTGTGGAAGGTTGTGTGGAAATTTCGCGCAAGGTTCAAGACGAGCTTAGTGCCGCATTAACTTGGTGACTATGTGCCCTCCTGGTCTGTCAGGTGCGCATGCCTTGGCATTTGATTTTTCGCCGGGTAGTGTACAGGCAGCGCCTGTATGGATTTGGATGATTTAATATGATCTAGCAAATAGCAATGGTTATCAGGCTAAGATTAATCATTACTGGCATTTACTGAATTCAAACACGACTTTAAGAAGTGCAAAATGTTGAATGCACTGACACGCACTATAACAATTTCAACTTGAAGTACTGCATTTGTTTTCATTGTTTCTGACTTACAAGTCAGCAGGGTCTTAAAATACAGTAGGCTGGAGTGATATTAAGTAATATTTCACCGTCCTCACTTGTTCACTAAACATTGTCTTATTTGCATGAATGGCTGTAAAACAATCCAGATATTTGTTTACGTTTGTAAAAAATGTACTTTCAACAACAGATTCGCTTTCTCAATAAATCACTTTTGTAATTATACTAAAACAATTATTCACATCAGGCTCGGTGAATATCGCTATTCACCTGGCTCGGTGAATATCGCTATTCACCTCGCCTTCGACGAATAGTTGATGAATAATGTAGCCTGAAAAAAACCTGTATAGCAATTGTGTTGACATCTGACAATTGTGTTGTGACTTTTTATAATTTTATTTATTAATTATTATTATCATTTGTCAAACTCAACATTTTGGGCCTTCAAAATACTTGGGCCCCTAAGCCCGGGTCCAGTGGTTACGAGCCAACTCAAAGATAGTTTTGAATATAGCATCAATATAATCTGGGAAGACAGATGTCAAGTGATTGGGGAGGAGTTTTTTTTTATCTATAATCTAGGTTGATTGTGTAACTCAAGCTTATTGCCTGAATATACGCTTAGACATCCCCATGCATCAGAAGATGACATTTCTTCTAGTTTTCTATTGATGAAAAGTATATTTTGTCTCGGTAGTTGAAACAGCTGTCGAATAATATGATTAAAAGCTAGAAATATTCGTGCAAAGATGCTTATATGAATTGCATCAATTGTCACAATTGATTATATAAGCCAAGGAGTAACTATGGCAACACTCACATCAACTAACATTGACTAATACTCTCAAATTTTTATTTCCTATTGTTTTCTATGACCGGTATAAGTTTTTATAGTTTGATTTTTGCATTTAGAAATATGTCAATTGGGAAAATACAAATCGATTTTCAAATTAGAAATGTGAAGAAATTCGATACCAAGATATTGTTGCGGATGTGGTGTAAAAACAGTAGACAGTTGCGTAATTTTTTGTCGAAAGAGATTGACAAGATTTTTTGAAAAATTATCATAAGCAGCCCAAAAATGTTTTCGGTCTACGAGTAGACTCGTGTTAGTACACTCTGATACAAAACTGCATTGAAGTATTTACGGGCGAATAATCCAATTTAGCTCCAGCGTTTCCGAGCTCGATGTAAATCGGTTCAATGCAGCCAAAGTTTAACCACCTCTGACCTCTCTCTCTTTTTTTTTTATCAGTGTTTTCGCGTTATCGATAAGGACGTTCTCTAAAACATTTCCTTTCACTTTTCCACCACGTTTCGCGGCTAAAATGTCTAAGAGCCGGAATATAAATAGCTACATATAAATTCTCGAAGATGTTTGATTATAATTTGGTTACTAACCATGATCATTTGGTTTGGATTTTCTAGCAATTAGAGGTCGTAAGGTCATCCGGAGAGCATTCAGAGAGATTGCAAAACGATCGTGTGTGTCATTTATTCCGCGACAAGACGACCATGATGATTATGTCTCGTTTGTTATCGGAAAAGGGTAAGGAGTGGAGTGATTAATTTGCGGTAAAGCAGTTTGTCAGTCATAATGATGAAGTGCTAATTTGTATGTTTCTTTGCATTAATTATCATGCATATTTATCATTTTTTGCGCAGGTCGTTAGGTCGTTTTCAGCTTTGCTTTCGCCTCAATGGCAGGGTGGTCACAACAATCAGCACTAGGCAATTATATACTGTTGTTTTTTCTTATAATGGGCGGAATTCAGACAACTCACTGAAAATCTTCGTAGAGTGATCGACACTTAAAAATGTTTATATGAACGGTTTGGACGCATCCTCGTGCCCACTTTCAATATATTTTCGCATTGGAAAGTACGTTAGAAAGCATGTTTACGAACTTTTTCTACAAACTTTTCATTATATCTTTCCTCATTTTTACCATATTTTGACCAAGAGCTATGAGATAATTGTCGGCCATCTTGGATGCTTTATCAACCTCATTAACTGTGGTAATTTTTTTAAGTCAGTGGTAGGATTAGTCTTATAAGTAAATTAATGCTAAATTACCGTAATAACACTGATATTATTTCTGATATTTACTTCGATTCCGAATTTAAGGTAGCAGCGGAACTATAATCAAATAATCATATTCTAAATGTCCGTTCACACGATCCAATTTTGTTGGATCCAATTCACCTCTGACGTATGGGATATAGTGAGCAATTGATAAAGTTGGCTTCAGTGCATTTGCTGCCCATATACAAGACAATTAACAGACTACAAAACATCCATCAGAAGTAAATTGGATCCAAAAAAATTGGATCGTGTGAACAGACCTTAAAATTGCAGGTAACTCGTAACATTCTCGATATTTAACTAAAATATCACAACAACAAATAAAAAATCAAGACATAAGTTTACAGGCAATTTGAACAGTTTTCCAAATAGGACAATACAGAAATTGTAGCTAGAGTTGCTTTCTGCACCGACTTCATGATCACCCACGATCGTCTCGACTGGAGTGATACATAATTATACTGACAAGGAATGAAAATGCAGATTCTTTTTCGTGCATTACGCATTTGAAGACAGTCAACACACATATGTTTAGTCGAGGTGTTTCTGACTGAAAAAAAAGCTACAATGGGATTGTTTGACATCTTCACTGCAATACATCATTGAACCCATTGCGCAAATCATCAGTTATTTTTATTTCATACGCTACAGATGTTACTCGTCCATCGGCCGCGTTGGAGGTCGTCAAGTGGTCTCACTTCACGAGGACTGTAAATATCGAGGGAAAGTAATTCATGAAATTCTTCACGCTCTTGGATTTTTCCATGAACACTCTCGCAGTGACAGGGACAAATATATCAGGGTCATTTGGAAGAATATTATGAAAGGTACAGTTAACCAGATGCGATAGCTAAGATCGCTAACATTAATTTGTGACATCACTGACCCAGCCGTGGGTAAGTTGGAATGCGACGGTTGGGCAATCGGGGTATAATAGGAACAATCTTTTAGCAAGACAAATATCAGCTTACACATGAAAAACAACGAAATTCTACCACGAAGAAAAGGCGCAACCATGCAGTCAAACCTTATGAGTTCCTTATGTGGTATCCCTAGCATGTAGGTCCTTGCACGATGATGCACGAGAGTAATCGCTGGAAATACGAATGGCCATATTTGCCTAAAACGAAAGGTTTTTTCTGAGTCATTAAAATGAATGGAATTCGATTTTAGAAGAATTGAAAATTGTCCCTGACTTCCCGCTCTTTTCTACTTACCCCTCCTATATTAGGAGGGGAAACATTGGCATTATTTTGTAAAAAAGAAAGAAATATTGTGAAGGAACTTACATTGTTTATAGTATCTGACAGTCGATGAATCCAGCTCAACACGTCTTCCTCATTTTTAGGGATGCGAAGGAATTTTGTGAGCTATAAGCATGGTCCTATTGATGCGCTGGGTGAACCTTACGACTTCAATTCGATAATGCATTACGACAATAAAGCATTCACGAAGAACGGTGGAGACACTATAAGGTCGCTGACAAAACCGAAAATGAGGCTCGGACAATTAAGAAGATTGACAAAAATAGATGTTAGCCAGATAAACAAGTTATATCGCTGCAAAGAGAGAAAGGCAGAAGGTATGGAAACTGTGTTTGCCGATATAGCTACAGCAGTTCTGCACAAGCTCGCCGAAAAACAAAAAGCCGGAACAAAAAGACACTATAAGGCCGTTAACAATAATCACAATGTCATACAGATTATTGCGTCTCAATTTCGATTGACCTCCACTGGAATCCAAGAATATATGTATGTGTTGTCATGATTTTCAGAAAGTAATCAATCAATATTTCCTTACCGAGACCTGCTTTGACATTTTTGCAATTTTGCGATAAGCTGCATCAGCGGGAGCTCACAAAGGGTGCTCCTTTCATGACTTTGGATAAAGGAGATTTGCGTCAATGAAACGTATCTTTCATATACAAGTTTTTAACAGTAATGTGAACTGAACAATTTTATTACTGCAGTTAGAATATCTTCCATTTTGACGGCCTTGGTGATATCTCAAATTTCAAAATTGCGCAAGAAAGCATGTTCCCAGGCCCCTGCCGATTATGCTGATTTCCCGGTTTCCGTGGGTACATAGGTACAATACAAGGTTCTATTCACGCAGGCGTTCAAGGAGGGGTTGGGGCGAGAGATTTGAATCCTCCTCAGAAAAAAGTTGAATAAAAAACGATTAGGCAATTTTTTGTCGAATGGTACGAAAATTCAGGGTATTTGTGCTAAAATAGGTGAGTCGGGCAATTTATGCTCGCGACTGGGGTTCTTGTCCTGAGATCAGCCCCCCCCCCATTCCAAAACAATTTTTAGGCCCGTATTCCTATGTCTATTCATCCAAGTTGCCGAGTAAATGGTGCGGACCTATTGCAATGGTGCTTTCTTAAAAGAAACAACTATTAGAACATAATTTTAGTGCAAACTGTGACGTTTGCTAGGAATCCACACTACTAACTTGATCAGACATCATAGGGTAAACTGTTCGGCGGGTGTCCGAGACTTAGGTCCGTAATGATTTTTGTACATGGCGGTTGTACTTTTTCTATCGAAACTTCAAAAACAATTCTCGTTTCGGTGCTTTATTCGAATGAAACAAGAACCATGATTTCCCTCGAATCTTCATGAACAAATTAAATACAACATGGTGCGAGGCACAAAAAGCGCCGTATTTAATGAGACTTGTTCACGAAGTATAGGAAAAACCCGGCTTACCTGTTTATCCGTCTTTGATATTCTCTCACCAAATTTGTAAAATGTTTTCCACCACAAGTCTCAGTAACAGTTTAGAAAAGATTGGCGAAATAATACGTTTAAGAGAAGAAACACAGATATCTGACATATATTTTGACATTACGCGAGCTTCATGACAAACTAGAGCTATGTGCTTAGCAAAAAGTCATTCGTGGTCATTGGCGTAAGCCAGTTGCTCCCGTGTGCGGGCGACTTTTCAGGCGACTTTGGCCATTCGTGCCATTTCTGCCTCGCGTGCCAAAATCTTTCCGTGTGCGGCAAAATGAAAGCTATCTGCTTATGGATTGTCTTAACAGCGCATGCGTAATATACGAATGTAAACATCCAAGATAGCGGTGATTATCAAACATGCTGGATATTTGCCGTAAGTGGCACGAATGACCAAAGTCGCCTAAAAAGTCGCCCGCACACGAGAGCAACTGGCTTACGCCAATGGCCACGAATGACTTTTTGCTAAGCACATAGCTCTAGTGTGCGCCGGCCTTTGGGTCCTTATAATATCGTCATATAGTGCCGTTTTCTTGACCACAATTAAGTCTTCTTGCTCAGAACACATTGTTGGTCAGAACACATCAACAATTTGTATTTAAAAATACTCGACTGTTCTGCAATTTAAAGTGGTTCCAAATGCCAGAAACGGAGTTCACTGTTAATAAAACGCGTGTGCACAATAGTACACTTTCATAACAAAAAACACTGCTTCAATCTTCATGTATAACAACTGACTAACACCATTTTATGTTTATCTTCAGCTAAATGTTTCGACTTTAAAAGAAATTGTAAGTTGCGGACATCCAAAACTGACGTTTGTGAAGCTAAATACAAGGTGATGAAAGAATCTTGTGCGAAATCTTGTGCATTTTGCGGATAGAAGGTATATCAACAGATCAGTTTATTATATTTTCCATATATCGCATATATTTCCTAAATATATATTTTCAATAATATAGTCTTGTTTGTGTCTACTATATGTAGTCACAAGATGCGTAATTGGTGCCGAGTACATATCATTGGTGCAGAGACAGTCGTTTTAAGTCATTTATTTAATTTAACCATTGTTCAATTATAAGCCTTAATTTGGTCGGTTGCTCGAAAGATGCTCAAAGTTTAAAAATACTCTCATGGTTTAAAAATACTCCCAGGGACCGCGGAGCAGGGTCTCGCATGGGCTTTAGCCCCATGCACCAATAATTTTTCCGTAATTAGTCTTTAATTTCGAATATTTTTTAGTTCGCTCAAATTTACAAGCATGTTTTTAGCAATTTGTATTTTTTGCTTTCAAATATATGCAGTGTATCTTATCTTGAATGCTATCGTAACTTTTACTTCTTCAACGTATATTTTAATAACCAATTCAAAGAAATGAGTATTCTAATTTCCAACGATATCTGTCGTAATAAATCCGCCATGTTTACAACCATTTGTTAAAATTAGTTATGTTTACTAAATACCATTGTTTACTAATACCATTTTCCGGTATATTCAACCATGGTCAAGTATACCTTTTTCCGGCCTTTTTTCGGGTATACCTTTTTCGATGCTTGCAAGTTGCAACTTTATATAGATGTTTGTATATGAGCACCGAACATGCTTGAAACTTTACATAGGGCCAGCATATGACTATAAAAACAGCGTGGTTATCCATGTCAAAATATTTGACATCATTATAACCAAAACATGGTTATATTGTTTAATGTTTGTATATGAGCACCAAACATGCTTGAAACTTTACATAGGGCCAGCATCAACCTCTAAAAACAGCGTGGTTATCCATGTCAAAATATTTGACATCATTATAACCAAAACATGGTTATATTGTTTAATGTTTGTATATGAGCACGAAACATGCTTGCAACTTTACATGGGACAAGCATTTGACCATTAAAACAGCGTGGTTATCCATATCAAAATATTTGACATCATAACCAAAGCATGGTTATATTGATTAATGATTGTATATGAGCGCCAAACATGCTGGAAACTTTAAGTATCTACTATTTACTTTATTCCTTAAATTGAGACAGGGCCGTAACTGGAACGATAATTGGGGGGGGGGGGGGTTTATTCATATATTCAGTTCTGCCCGACGGATTTCCATTGTGAGCTATTGCACTTACAAAAGAAATCCACTGGGCAGAACTGAATATATGAATAAACACCCCCCAATTATCGTTCTAGTTACGGAACGATAACTACCTGAATTGAGAGGCATTTGCGGCTATTTCAAAGACGTATGTATATTTGAAAATTTTTCCGGACTTTGCTAGCAGGCGCGCGGTTCCGAGCCCTATGCAACAATACGAAAAACGCTCCGCGGTCCCTGCCTACATCTTCTGAATGACTGCACCTACATCTTATACATTAAATATTCATTTACATTAAAAATTAAACCATTTACATCAAAATCAGCTCAGTTGTGAAATGTTAGATGGATAATCAATACTGTTTTTTTATTTTGAACTTATCCACCGTTACCAAGCTATACACGCGATTCGAACAACTGGAACCTCTGCATGCACTATTAAATATTGCATTATGCTCATTTGTTAACGTTTATAACTTCGTGGATCATCCCTCCCTCCGCTCATACACTATTATATTGTCAATGTTGCTCCCTTAAGAGTGGTGGTGACATTGACGGAAGGAGTTTTATAATTATGCAATTATATTATTTGTACCACATGGCTCTTGGGAAAGATTGTAAGATTAACTTTCCTCCCCAATAGCTGCCTACATGATCCTCACCGCGCTACTCCTAATGTACCCATTTGAAAGAAGATTCCAAAAGCCTTTCCGCTTCACATTGATATGTAGACGAAGAAAATACCCAATTGCTTAGAAGATGAAACAAGGACAACATGTATGGATGTCGAACACTGCCTCAGCATGAAGACGCAATTTTCTCATGCAAGATCGCCGCGGTATAAAATTTAGACTGGCAGAACGGCACAATCAATTGATATGCATGGCCAATAATTTATAATATATATATATTGTATTTAGACGACTATATAATTATTATAAGATGTACATTTAATAAAGATAAGCGAGCTGTGAAATTTAAGTATACCGAAGTGATTGTTCAACGTGAAGATTTTGAAATGATGCAATATATAGAGGTATACTCGTCAGACATATATAGCCTCTAAAAGCCTACCAAAAAACGTATAATAAATTGAATAATTTATTACTACCTCCTTAGAAACAGTATGCTTTGGTTACGACAAACATAATTGGGCCCCGAGAAATAAATCCATATTTCCAAGCAACCATATAATATTCTGTTTATTACATGAGCAAATTATAACAGCATGCGTTTTACAACACATTTTTTATTGGTCAAAAGTATTTCTAAACGCGGTTTTTGATTGGCTTGCAAAAATGATATTTTTATACGTAATCATATTGTATTGTTACGTGTATTTAAATAAGATTTTTCTCGGTGGCGTAAAACTCTATATAACACTAATTTTTATTAAATAAATACTGCTATACAACCATTGATATGCCCGTAAGTTTCAATCTGGCCTATAGCTGTTAATTGGTATATTCACCGCTGCATGCATGTAGATACTAACTTTTTTTTGTAAATTTTAAAGTTAAAATCAACCTATAAAATGGTTAGTTATTCTGAAAATTGCTTTTACTTTTTATCACAGCTTATATATATCTATTTTGATCCCTAAATGGCGGTTCCTTGAAATGGATGTTTAATCCCTAAAATGGCGGATACTTGTTAGGGGCTTAGCCTTAGGGCTGCTTTCCACTTACACGTTTTTCATACGCACGAACATGTACGTATACCTAAAAAGCTAAATCAGAAGTAGATGAATCGAAAGAACTTAGCTTTCTGTCTATTTTAGTATGCATTTGTTGACCTGGATGTTTAATGCTATAAGAATTTAGAAGCATTTAAAATTTTCCATGGAAAGCAGCCCTAATGAACGTTTGTTGCGTAAAAGACCAGTTGTCACGATTGCACTTGACTATAAAAGTCGTCGTCGTTATTTGAATGACACTCATTCTTTCATAACTGTTTTATAACTTACCATGCAAGCTTACTTTATTAACATCGATACGATGAAACTGTTATTGAACACACGCAGCGACGTTTTCATGTTTTGTTAAGGAACCGCTGATGGAAATCGTTGAACATTAAGAACAGATTTTTCTCCAAAATGGAAAGAAGTGTGACTTGAATTATCTGCTTGTCGTGATTGTTGACACTGCTGAGTGTATGCTGACTATTGTTTACTCTGGCCCGGAGTGTATTCATGCTCAGGGTGCCATCATTTAGTCTCTATTTTTAAAAAAGGTTCAGAAGTACCACGGTCAAATCTTTAGATCGTTATCCATGCGTATTACATAATATTTATTTTGGACTATCCCGTCAATTAGTTTTATGGTGTAGTTTGTTAAATTATTTTGTCCTAAAACCATGCATCTAATATTTGACCAAGTTAGTTTTTGTGTATGCGCTAGACTCAAATCAAAATTTTCAAAACTTTTTCGATTACTGTCCCTATATTGTGCGTAGGTAAATCCCAGTAAACTCTATAGCCTGTAGCGATAGCTACATGACGCAACTCACATAGGGCCGCCATATTTGAGGCAAATTTGAAACCGAATTGGGCACTAGTGTAAGTCAGTTGCCAGTCCCTTTCTATTGTTTTTGTTGGCGCGATCGTCGATCGTGAAGACAAAAACAATAATTCTCACATTGACGAAACTAATCAACAAAATAGACTAGTTCTAATCAACGAAATCCATGTAAACTAATATTTACCATTTTCCAAAAGATTGCTCGTTGCGAATTTGCAACCGCCACAACGACATCAAATGTGACGTTTAAAACTTTGGCATGGTGTTTGAGGACTCCCAAACGTATGTAATCATCACTCAGCCTTTCATTCTCCTGCAAAAAAAAATTTTTATTAAAATGGAAGTCAAGTCATTCAGTGTGGAAGTGGAAGTTAAAGTGGAATAATTAAAGTGAAGTTAGGGCCAATTATTGAATATTCACACAGCATCTCGCATTTTAAAAAATATCAAAGTTTAAACTGTAAAACTGCAACATAGACATTCTTCATATAGACATCCACTAAAAATAACCGTCATTCAACTTACGGATAAGGTGTATTTCCAGCAAAATTCCACTTCTTTTTCCCTTGAGCAATCTCGTTTTCGTGAATTTGATGTCGCTCGATCTATTTTAGAATTTAGCAATCGGTTTGCGTAAGAGAAATTTCCCGACATTACAGCCAGGACCCAGGGACGTCGGAATCAAATTGGTTTTGAGGGGGTACAAGTTTCCAGCCGGGGCACTTGCACAAAGTGAGGGAGCTATCTTTTCAATTAATTTTGAGTTTCACTTGAGAATATATTATATAGAGAATATATATGTTTTTTACCAGATTGGAGGTCCGTATAGGAAAATATTTCCCAAGGTGTCAAAAACAGCCCGAGGCCGAAAACCGAGGTACGTTTTTGAGACAGAGGGAAATATTTCCTATACGGACCGATAAATATTAGATTTTTTTTCTTGCGGTCCGAATTCATTTTTTAGCGTTGGCTCTGTGCTTTTAAATCGCGCGCGGTCCGTACGGCCTCATACGGACCGCTCGCGTAGCCAATCAGATTGCAGGAAACGCTAAAATATGAATTCGGATCGCAAGAAAAAAAATAATACTTAATATTTGATAGATCGTGTAAATCGGCCAAGGGGGCACACGTGCAGTACTGCGTCCAAACACAATTACATTAATCTCATTTTTGAAAAGCCAAATAGGCAAAACCAGGCAGAGATCACAATGAAAAAAGCCACTTTTTGAAAATTTAGCGGGGGGGGGGGCACGTGCTATCAGCGCAACCACACCCGGTTACGATTTCCCTGATTATACATCACATTCACAAGCAAGTGGGGGGAATCCCATGTATGACTGATTTCTATCGGAAAAATTAGGCGCTTTCTTGAAATGGATAAAGAAGGTGTGTAATTCGTACCAAAGAAATCTTCTCATTTTGTACCACATTAAATGTATTCCAGGTTTGTGCGATCAGGTACTTCATTCTGATCGCCCTTGCGGTAAAAGCACCGGTAAAAGCACAGAGCAACAACATCAAAACGACGGCCAATGATGTAATTCCTGGAAGGGAAAGGGCCAGTTAATCCTAAGGTTACATCAGAGGCTCTGGGCCTAGCAATTGCATGGAGAGTATCAAGAGTTCCAAAAAGTAACGTAAAAATAAAGTGGTTAAAATAGTTCTCCATACAGTTGTCTGAACTTCTTTATTACTGAAAGTAACTCAAACTTGGTTATCCAGTGTATATATACGACTATTCGTTGTAGTTTACTATTTGTTGTAGCTGGTATTTAACAATACATGATTTTGCTGTTGTGTCTGAATTAACTGAAAGGATTCAGGTCCTAATGTTTCAATTTTACGGCAAAAAAAATCGTATTACAGGCAGTATATTATTCACAATCGCTTAATCAGCTTACTTTTGTCTTTCATCTCTTTGATGCTTGGTTGGATCAACTCTTCTTATAATCCTAAAACTTCTTTAGTCTTCAGGAATTTGAAGAACAAGCGAATATGCGTTCGCAAATAGTACTATATTGTAGTGAGGTTTCCCCTTCAAGAACAGTGTTAAATGAATAGATCGGATATTCGGCGTAGACTTTTAAAGTAAACGGTTTTCTTTCATTCTCCCATTGGAATTTCCCGTGACGCGTGCAAGGTCCTATAATTTCGAGCATTTGCTTATTCGGCATTTTAAAGCGATAGAAGCATCGCTATAACGAACATGTATCAACTCAGCTGGACTAAAACATCAGCTGAGACACATGCATGTCAGAAAGACGGTTAGCCAATGGTATTCCCCTCGAACCCACGCGGTAAATTCCGTTTGTGACTGAATCATACGATTTCAGGATATCAGCTACTGCCTGGCCCCAACGAAACCCCAATAAACCGTATGAATCATTGAATCATTACATAATGAAATTGTAAATTAAATATCGCGACCAAGTTCGTTTCAAGTTTTCATAATAACGCTAAAAAATTTTAAATTTTGTCAACATTTTTTACCGTAACGCTGATTTGATAACTTTTAGCCGTGTTGACATGCACGATATGCTTTGAAGTCAACTGCCACCTGCTCATTGAACATTCAAATTTTCGCAAGACCGCGAAAATGTAAATAGCTCAGTCATCAAATTTTGGTAAATATAGTGACAAATTTTGATTGCTTTTCACTGTAGTTTCACGTAACATCATTTGTGTTTACATTCGTGTAGTTTTCATGGCTAATATCAGTTCCTCACTTTCCTTGTAAAACTCAGTTGTTAATAGGGTCAATCAGCGTATCAAAAACTAAATGTTTCCCGCCTTAATAATTTAATAGGGAGATTTTTTTAGCATGTGGACGTGAACGTCAAACACGTACGACATGAAAATGGCGAGTAAATGGCGTGGCATGTTCATATTTGGGCGCATCACGCCATTTATTCGTCATTTTCACGTCGTCTTAGACGTTCACGTTCTCATGCTAAGTCGCCCTACGGCCCTCATAATAATATACACACGCGCTGCGTGCGTGTGCTGTAAAGCATTTTTTGTGAAAAGCTTATAAACTGGAGATTTATACGGTCCATAATGTAAACAAACTTTTGGTTTACATTTTGAACGCTGAATGACTATGGGCTCTTCTCTTTTGCTCCATCCATGCTATGCAGATGTACTGAAATAACGATATACTTGAATATAAAGTTCTTGAAACACTTCAAAATATCAGTAATCTGTCTGTACTGAAATTCAGCAGGACCTGAATGGCCGTTTTTATCGTAGAAAGGAAAATGCCCCATGTATTGCGAAGTGTTCGAAAAGCATACGAACATGTTTGCAACGCAATATTACAGGTCAGCAGAACTGCCTGGCATATCCAATGGCGTGGTGGGGGGGGGCGTGGTTATTCATATATTCAGTTGTGCCCGACGGCAGAATTTAAGCTATAATTCTATTGTAAGCACTTACAAAAGAACACCCGAATTTTTTTTCAAAATCCATGATATGCGGGTAACATAGTACGGAAGCTATAGTTGGAAATAGTATAGAAGTTTACAATCCATACTAACTGCCATTTTCATATTATGTATATTTTAAAAAAATTTCACGGGAAATTCGTCAGGCAGAACTAAATAATTATATGAATAA